TATAAGTTATTTTCTTATTTCTCACACCAATATCCCACAGAAAGAACGTATTTTATTCCGCAGTACATTCTTTTCTATGCTGCTGAAATATCATTTTACCAGTAATAAATAGATTCTGCATTTCATAAATTTTCTTAACGTGTTAAATATGGTCGCATTGTGTGTTGCTTATTTTTAACGAATATATTATACTATTATTTAATACTTAAATTAATTAATTCTGTATTTATATTAATTTCATTACAAGAAAACCTAAGGAATCCAAGAATACGACAGAGTAAAGAAAAAAAGAAACGGCTATGGGAATATTATTATAATGCTATGGGAACTAGACTGTGCATTTTGGAACTATAGGGCTCTATTATTTTAAATTAAATTAAATATCAAATTAAATATTACAAACGTCTTATGAGATAATATTAGACATTTTCTAGACCGGAATGATACACAATCGATAGTAACAGTAAATAGAAAAATATATAAAATTCATACAAAGCTAGTGCGGATAGAATACAAAAAGTGGATGGTAGAATGGTTAAAAAAGTTAAAAACCACTCTACAGAATCATATACAGGTACAATATTTTTCACGTCTTGATCTTGTTATTTGTGTTTCACTAAAAATCAAGATAAGCTTCCACAAGGTAATACATAGAATATCCTGAATGTTAGCATAGTTTTATTCATACACACACGACTCCTCGGAATTCATAAATCTCTTTGCCACTCAGGTAAGGGGGGAGGGGGGGGCAAACTCAGCTCCAAACATTACATCCTGACAAGAACGCCAGAAAACTTGTGGCTGCTTTTCCAATTTCCTGCTACTGACGTCTGATTTATGATTTATAAAGTTTAGCAACAAAACTTGTACACCTGTTTGCGATACGGCAAGGCTCAAGTCGGAGCGGAGTGATTTTGGTCTATGTGGTTTAATAAATTAGCGCCCTTTCAGGGAACGGCTGGAAGACAGTAACGAGAGGAGAAGCAAATATGTAGTTCTGTATTTGGTTTTAATTTTGTGATTCTAACCTTTGAATGTTTTAAAAATACAAATTATGTCTTGCTACGAATCGTATAAGATTTTATTCTTTATTTAAAATCCCTATGTCGTTTATTAGGCTCCTTGTATCTGCTTCCCAAAAAAAACTTACAATGTAAAAATGTTTTTTGATTCAAAAAAAATATGTTAACAATGTAGAACTCAGCTTAGCGTAGATTTTAGATTATCTGTAAGTGTATGGTATAATAATTGCCAAGATTAAGTGAGCTATTTGTCAAGTACAAAAAGGCCATTGACATAAATTATTCCAGTTTTTCAATACGACGAACCATAATTAAAGTTATATCAATAATCGTGCTCTTCTGACTCTTGAATACACGATTGAAATAAAAACTGCTTCTTTTATTTTACTATATCTAATGTAGGAGTCATTTTTATGAGGAACTAAAAACGGCCAGACATATTTAGATTGCATTACTATAGTTTTCTTTTCAACTTGTATTGTTTGTTTGGATCGTCTTACGTTAAATATGGTATTATCTTAATGCCATGGCTTAAAAAACGCCTGTAGTTCAAACGACCCAGAAAAATTCCCACCCCTAGGAGCACCCCTGACCCACATCCAACCCCGTTGATCGACGGACATCAACATCAACTCTTCAGCGTGATCGGATAAGCAAATCACCCCCCACTACACTCCCCTCTCCCTCTAGTGCTACAGGTGGTTGGTCAGTTACGGGGGTGCGTGATACTTTACATTTATTGACAGGGCTATCTGATGCAACACCCCTTGGACAAATCGCTCTGTTAGCCCAACAAACGACTGTATGCAGATTAGGGGACCTGTTAACGGCGTTTTGATCTTTTGGAATTAATTTTGTTGTAGGAAGTATGACTAGCGTTGTGAATGTGTGGTTGTGTTTTCCAACCGGTGCCGATGGACCTTGTTTTTCAATATGTACTGATTATCGTTTTCTCATTTATGAAAATGGCTTTTGAAACCAACACACGTTTTATGGGAGTTCTTTGCAACATAGAATTATTTATATTTTTCAAACTTCCTTAGTAAATGTTATGACAGCTTAAATTAGCCAAAACAATAATGTTATTCCAATGGATGAAGAAAAGTATGTTCAGTACCCTTACATTTATATTACCTACATTTTATATCATTTGAACCTGATGCAAATTACTACTTAGGCTAAACATCTCAAATTGAGAAACATGTATCGTGACTTTGTACGACGTAAGACTGAGGCTAAACAATGACATGGTGTGACAAAAACTATAACATCAGGCTTCAAACTATTCACAGATACGTCAGAATACACTAGTGTGTGACGTCACGTACCTGGCCGCAATTTCTCACTTCACGTTGTTTGTAATGAATGACGCAACTGAGAGTTGGGAATAAATTAAGGGAGAACAAAGGGGGAGCGGGAAGGGGGCAAAGAAACCTAATGAAATATTCAAAGTTGATTAGCATCACTGGAGTGACACTAGGAGCCTGGCTGATCCTTAGTGGAGGGTCCTTAAATCCTGGATAAAACCTTAGAAGCATTTTACGACTTTGGATATAGGGAAAACTGTTGAAAACGTAAGGCGTTCATATTCTTATTTTAGTTTTCCTTGTCATTATAGTATTTAATATTACTTTCCACAGAGTATTTATTACAAAAAAAAATCAAATTCAGAACCCAGTCTACGAAGAATCATTTTGTTGCTTAGTACATAAATTGTTTACCATTCAAAGGAGTTAGTATTACATATTTTGTAAAGTTTATCAACTTGGGTGCTTGACAACCACTACAGTAGCTCTTGATTGAGTTCTCTCATCTGATATTGGTTCTAGAGTGAAAATTTAAAAACGTACGTTTTCAGGAAAAGCACTTTGCAATTTTTTTTCCCCTTTTTTAAAAACTTTTATTATTTTTTATATTTTATTAACATTTGAAGTTTCATAAAATGTCCATGGTAACGCAATATCTTTGGTAGTTTTTTTTTTAAAGAGCATCTTTAGTGGAAAAACACAAAATTCTGTCACGACCATAACGGACGTTTAAATGAATATTAAAAATAGTTAATATAATTTTTATAGCTATGTTTTGCTATAAACTAATTTACTTTTATGACCATTATACAATAAAAAGGTCACTAAGATTTTTGTATATTTGGTCTTTCTAGAAAAAAAGAAAAAAAACTCAACAAATTTAAAAAAAGCCAATAAAATCTTTTTAAGTTTGTATAACTCCGAAAAAACTTACCAGAGACCCAAAAAATCGTTATGTTTGTATAGAGGTGTGCTTCTTTTGTATATAAAACATTAAAATATGACGATATTTGAATTTTTGAATTTTTTATGATAGAAATCATAAACGTGATGGTCAGGGACAAGCGGTACGGTCGTGAATTGTCTGGAATAATCTAAATCTTTCTAAACAATCCTTCAATTATACTGTTAGATATAATAAAATTATGTGTTTCAATTGAACTAAACTGTTCAATTTACAATTATATTAAAGTTATTGTCACGACCAAACACACTATAATCCATAAGGCTGGATTGGTCGTGAAAAAAACCGCGATGGTCGTGAAACTTTGGTCGTGAAATTACGTTTTATTTGGCTCTGTTCTGGTGGTAGCCCTGCACCTCATGTTCGAGGATACAAAGTGGACTTCTAGGTTAATCTAGCAATTGAAATATCTTATAAACAAAAAATAACACCATGTCTACTTCATCGAATGACTACGTACGGTCATGGACACACCAAAATTACAAAAAACACAATCTTTCCTTTATTAATCTTGTAATTCCTCATTTCAACTCGAAACGACCGGCACTACAATCCTGACGTACACCCCGAACTAGTCTCTAAAACCAACTGACTCCATCGACGCCAGGCTTGACACTGTCGTGCTCCAAAGTTGAAAATTTTTCCCAAATGGTCGTGACGCCAAATCGAGGGACAGACTTATTTTGTCATGGTAGTCAGTTTGCAATGACAATAAAATTATAATATGCTCCTTTTTTGTAAGTTTAATAACCATTGATGACATAAAAATATGGCTTTATATATTTCGGCATGAATAATTAGTCTAAAAACAGCGTGAAAGTTGGAAAATGTACCCTAGGGACACGTCATGGTCGTGAATTTAGAGACTTTAAAAATACGAAAAAAATACCTAGAACCTATTTAAAACAAAATAAATGTGTGTAACATGTTGCCCCCGTCCCAAAAAATATTAAAACACATAATAATAAACTACAAATCCAGTATCTACGAAGTAAAAGGCCAGGGACATGAAAACGTACGTTTTTAAATTTTCACTCTCTAAAGTTTTCTCTCACGCAACATTTGTGTTATGTATTTTTCCTTTAGTTTATTTTTGTACTTTATTTCTTTTGGTTTTATTGTTTAGCTTACTTTTTAAATAACTCTGGCGATAACATGGAACCAACAACAGAATTTGTATGTTATTATTATTAATTAGTATTATATGGGTTGCCCTTATTATAAAAAGTAGTTATTTAATTACATACGCGTTATGTAGAAAACGTTCAAGTTAGCTATAAAACTGATTCTGCACACTCAAAAACCTGAACGATAATTGCCAAAAGATTTAAATACAACACTTTCTAAATAACATTTATACGCCATTCAAACAGAAGCTAACGAATCAACCAAATTAGTATACACACATTAAAAGCCTATTTAATACAACAGTTTCATTTTTGGCAACTATTTGTTTAAAATGTTATTAATTTGTAAATTACCTTTAAGAAACCTAACACATTAAAAAAGGTGTCACTAATATATGGCTTTAATTTTCAGATTTGATTTGTTTGAACACTGATCATGTATAAGTCAAGTAAACTAATTTCGTCAAACTATTTCCCACTACAATGCTCATTAACTATCCCTAATCTTGTCCATTACAAGGTAGTGTGTTAAAGAAAGAGAAACAGTACATTTTTTAGCAAATTACCTTCATTCTAACAGTTTTACTGGCTTTAATCCTCAAGAAGTCTCCAATTAAAATCTCAACCCTCTATAACGTCGCAATAACTCACTCTAAGTACGACACGGACCACCAGGCCTACCTGAGGAGGCTGGCAATGGCTGCTCCAGCGTCTGAGGCGTTTACTGTGTCTAGTCGAGCGGATAATGCGAATTGCTCGCGATCTGGAGATGAGGAAATAGAAAGAAACCAACGACACTCCGGGGAGACGTTCGCCTATCAGAGGATCATCAATCTGACCGTGGGGGGGAGGGAGGGGGCGCTGCGACATATCCGCCGATTATATCACCGATTATTATTAGTCTACCCGGGTCGAATCAGTGTGTTTTGTGTATCCAGGAGGGCGTTTGTGCGTAGGATTAAATTAGGAGCCATTTCGTATAATTCTTTGCAGGCCGTTAAATATAATTTAAGAATTGAGTAATTTTACTTTTTTATACTTTCATTCAGAGAGTAAAGAGTGTAATCATAAAGCAATTTATTCTGTGAAACCCAAGTACTTCAATGGCTGGAGACAACAGAGGGGTTATTCTTTTAAATACTTAAAGTGTAAACCTATAACACGGAAATATTTTTGTTCGAGTTATTTGAAAAATAAGAAAAGGATACAAAAATGCAAGCGTTGAGTTCGTATAATTCACCAATATTTTTGTGTTTGTATAAACTTAATAATATCAATGTTTTACAAACGAATAATATCTGTTACACTTTATAATTGTTCTTAAATTTTAAACACATTGAAAACAGATCACAAACGATTATTTCCAGGAAGAAAGAGGAAGTTGAAAGTACGCAACAAATGAAGGGCTCGCGACAAGCGGATTATGAAGGGTCGACACAATGGGGTCCTTGTAATATCATTTACAACTCCTGCAGGACAAGGTGGATGCAATAAAACAAAAAGAACGACTCGGAATTCGTAATCTGCTGGACAAAGGATCGACATCTGAGGCTGAGGAGATTAAAAAGTTGACGACACTTCCTACGGAGGAGGTACTTAGCTAAAGAGGATTTTAAAACCGCATCAGTCCTTGGGACCGCGAACTGTACGGAGCTTGGGCAGAAAGAAATAAGTAACCTTTGTCGTGATTGTTTTAAGTCTTATTAGATTAATGTGGAAGGATCAATAGGTTTTTAACGGGAAATAATCAGTTTATTTTCCCTTAAGTTTTGAGAAGATAAACAAATCGGAGGGAGATGGAAGTAGAAATCAAGGTATACACATTTTTATTTTATATTGTCTGTGTTTGAAGTTAAACTTGGTGATTTTTTTTTGTAATTTACAATGTGAATTTTTATATAAAAATGACACTGTTAAAAGATTTACGAAGTGTTAACTTAATTTAGGTAAAACCCCAACAAATCCTTCTCCGACGGTATATTTGGAATCCTTCTCCGACTTGAAAAATTTCAAAGGTTCCAAAGCAATTTTATTTCATAGAATAAATAGTATTAATAACTAAATATATTCCACTATGTAATGTATTAAAATAGAAAACTAAATCATCACAAAATCAAAACTTACTCAATTCAAACCATCAATTATTAACCCCTAGCATCTTTTGAACCCAAAATGAAAAACCACTTGACTCGATAATCCCTCCAAAAATGAGACAAAGGGTGAAGGAAGTGACAAGATTGCGTTCTGTGGCTGCTGCGCGCTCGATTAGCCCAGTAACGAGTATTGTAGGGCAATTTGTGGATGGGGGAGGGAGGGGAGGTAAGTAAGCATCTGCTTGACAACATAGAGGAAAGCTATCTGATTACATGGTCCATGTACTTATACTGCGGCCGTTAAGTTGGGCGCACCGCGCACCGCACATAAAAACATCCACTGACTTTGCACCCCGGGTATTAACTCATTAAACCCCCCGCTTCACTTGATAGGGTATTAAACTGTTATTACTTTTTGTGAAATTGTAAATAATATGTTTACAATGTGTTATTTAACATATTACGGGGTAATTTACGCTTTTATGAGCATAGCTATTGCTAACACACATGTTATTATTTTTATTTGTTTTAGGTCTATGTAATAAATTTATACACTTATTCATTTCATTATAAATACATAGGTTTTATATTTATATTTAATTACATGTAATTTTTTTATAAAATAAAAACAGGATTAGTAATAAATACATAACATAAAAAAAACGAAAATATGTATAACCTGTTATAAAATACTAAAAGTGAGGAAACGACAATGATGAATATACATACTTTAACCCAAATAATCAATGTATACATACAAATATTATTAATACATCAACTTTTATAAGCCTACCTATATTTATATTGTATTTAATGTCGCTTGCAAAACTTGATCTATAAAAGTGATTGTATATTATACACAATAGTAATACTTAACTATATAGTAATGCTTAGTAATACTTACTATATAGGCATAAATAATGTGAATGAAATTAAGTAACAACTTTTCATAATAAGAGCAACCCATATGATACAAAATAATAGTAATAACAACATAACAAAATCATATGTTAGTTTTTTTTTCATTTCACAAGACAAATATAAGCTAGACAATAAACCAAAAGAAAGAAAGTACAAAAATAAACCAAAAGAAAAATACGTACCGTAACACAAATGTTGCGAGAGAGAAAACTTAGAACCAATATCAGATGAGAGAACTCAATCAAGAGCTACTGTAGTGGTTGTCAAGCACCCAAGTTGATAAAACACAACAGCCCTCTAGATCACGGGGTGTATTAATTGTTGGGGCGTGTGTGCCACCGGAAATACGGTGGAAACACCGGAAGTGACGTCACGACATCCATCAGTGACGTGTCAATGTCTGGCGGTTCCGGTGCGCGATCGTTCGGAAAACTGAATCACTCTAATCCCGATCCTTTCTCCTCAGATAAAAATATGTTTTCCCTCCGATCGGTCCCAACCATGTGGAAAACGCTTGGATTTCATCCGTGGTTGGTTTTGATTTCACGTTTTCCGTGTTGAATGTTTTGACGGATTATTCTTATTGCGTGGTTTGTTTGTCTAGCTTTTGCTATTTCCTCATCAATGCATGTGTATTTTCAGTGCGTTGTGTTTTGGAAATTGTGCCGTTTTTATTAGTTCGTATTAGCTTTAGCATTTTCATCGTTCCTGTGCTTTTTGTGCGGTTTGTGTAGTGGGTAAAAATAGCTAATAGTTGGTTTTTTACAGGCAGACGAAAGGGGAGAACTAAATAGTCGATTGCACGAAGATCAGTGAGTACCAATTTTCTATAGACCTACTTTTATTAGAATTACACGTTAAAAGTGTGTAATAATACTTTTGATAATTTATAATTATTTGAACTTAATTCCACGGTTCACGAACAATTAATCGATGTAATTATAAACAAATAAATATTTAAACCTTCAGTACCTTGATATTTTGCTGTATACGTTTATCTTTATAATAACAAATCCAAAATAAGCTTACAAAACTGTTGCATTCGTATCTTGTCAACAACAACTTTGTAGCTTCCTCAAACATGAAACAAAGTTTTCACTAGAAGAGTTAAAGTGGAACAATGATTCAGTGAATGCAGTCGTTATTGAGTCTGGTGCCGTAATCGCTGGTGTAAATGCTAAACAGGGGTTACGACAGTGTAAGCCGCGACGTCGACAGAGCGAAACGCGTAAAAGTCGGAGCCAAAAGGCGTAAAAGCGGCCGTAAATTATGTAAATGTGCGACTTTTGTGTCAATCAACGCGTTTATGTCTGAATGCAGCTAGTTATCGAGGGCAGCATTGTACGTGGATCGAGATCTTATGAAATAGTTGCGTCTAATTGAAGCGTTTAAATATAATCTTTGACTATAATTCATTTGTAGATCTATATTTTTACACACGTTGTTCTAACATTTCCATATATATATATAGGGGATGTATACGTTTGTGTATTGGATGAGAACTCAGCCAATTCAAGTGATTTTAATGTTAGATTTAAAATCAATTTTTGGATAAGTGTCAAATGTATGGTTTAGTTTTTATTATTTAGTTAAGACCCCTTTTCAGTTAGAATATCCAAAAGGCTTGATTCGAAGAAGTAAATTGTTTCAGTTGGTAATAAATAATTTATTTCGAGCAAGAACTTAATTCGAAAGCATTGAGCTTAACGTAATAAGATCCCATTAGTAAAAGTTAACTGTTAACTAGCTCCTGATGACTTACAACTGGAACCTTTTGTCAACTATCCGTGACTAATCGTGATTCTTCTTGTAATGTGCATTTCACTTCCGTCAGCAAAAATCTTGAGATATAGATTTCTGTCGAAGCGCTAAGCGTTAGCTGGACACATAAGTCCTTGACAGGCTCTGATTTATCAAAGGAGGGGAAATCCTTAAGGGGGGTGTCGTAGAGCAGGGGAAGAGGTTCGCGTGAACATAATTGCAAAAACAACAGCTTTATGAGCGCTAGGCAAATACGGAAACGCAACTTGAATTTATGATTGAAACTTTCTAAGCCTAATCGCCAGCAAAGTCAATTTTGGAAATGAGTTTGCTTGCTTTACTGCGCCTATGTTCAATCTGAACGTCAATAAGTTACCAGATTTTGTCCCATCAGACTTCTAAACACAAACAATACGTACAGAATGTTAAAACACAACTTTATTTGTAATGTGTGAATTGATTTTTTATTCCATTATAATATAGAACCGTGGTCGTATTTTACATGACTGATACATCAGCCTAGACCTGTTGTAGATTAATCATCTTTTATAGGATTTCAATTAATTGACCAATACCACACACATTTAAAATTAAGTATGGCTGGTTACTGGAACCATATACTTAATATATACTTGACTTTTTATAAGTACATAGATTATTGTTTTGAAATAAATTATCCCCCCATTTTATTGGTGAAAACGAAGTAGTGATTCGATCCAAAATATAAAAAATCTTTAATAATCATACATGAAATGTGATTGTTGATATGTAGCCGACTGTAAAATGTAAAATATGTTTAACTATGTCATATAACACTTATAAATGGGAACACTTTCAAATACTGATTCAAAAACGTCAATTTAAATGTTTAAGTAAAAAATATGTATTATTTATGTATTCCCATACTGGACCGTAATAAATTCAATTTCGGACTGCAACTTTTACAAACCCCAGTTCACTTCCTTGTGTATTCAGCACTTTAAACCCCCTTTTCCATCCCTCACACCACTCCCTCTAACGGTTCCAAAGAAGCAATCGGCAGCAAGGATTTATCGTTTCCAGATATGTTTGCTTGATTTAGGAGTCGCAAAGAAACTTGCGATCTCTGTTTAATCGGACCACTCCAGGTATGAAGGATTTACGGACGAGATATGGGGGCAGATCGAAATCTACCCTCTGGTGTAGCGCCGCGCCGTTCATACACTTGGGAGGTGTCCGGCTTTGTATATGTGATTTATATATCAGTTGATTTCTTGTTTGCTCCATCTACACTTTTCCAATATGCAGGAGTCTTTTGTAAGTGGTTTTAACAGATTCTAATAAAAGTGGCTTACTAAGTGATTATCATTAATGGATTTCAAAGACTTAAAAAAAGTCTTATGTCTATGTGATATGAAACGTACAGAAATTTATTAAATTTATAGTCTGACAGGTAATAAAAGCCATTCGTTAAACTACATTTCAATTACTGTTCAGTTACAGCAAGAAAATAAATTTCAAAAGCAGTGATCATTGGTTTACTCCAGTATTTGTATCATTCTCTCTATGGATTAGCTTCATAAACAACTTTATTAAACTATGTACCTGGCATTATTTTTTAATGTTGACATAGGGGTGATAATACTTCTGAATAGAGTGAGGATTGGCATAATGCCTTATTTTATTCATTATTTATATACTACGGTTGATTTCGAGAGACCATTACACTACTACAATAGCACTGTTGCCTAAGGGGCTCTAAAATATAAAACAAAAAAACTGTATTAAATGACCGGCAAAGGCATCTCCAGCTCCAACGCCGTAGCAAAAAGTACAAATAATGTTACTCTGCCTGAAGCAACAAATGGGGCTATGAAAACATAGTGCTTTAGCTACCAAGGAGACCTGTCTAATTTAATCTAACAACGTAAACCTAGAGAATTGCCCAATGAACAAAATGAATACCAGAATATATACATGATACCCCCGCCGCAGCGAACCTGCAGACTAAGCAAATTTCCCTTTGCCTGAATTGATATACAATTAAAACCATTTATATAACATTATGTTAAATGAGTTCATAGGTTTGCTGCTACAGGGAGGCTAGTAAAGTGTGTTTTTTTAGTAAAAAAATAATAGCTTGGTATTAAATAAATAAATTTGCCAAGTTTGATCAAAATATATCCATAAACAAGCAAACTGCAACATTTTACAAAATGCTTCGTTTACTTGTACGTATTTATATCGGAAATTGTAAACCCATTAGTTTACATCTCTCTGACTACGACAGGTGGGAATTGGGGATTTACTTTCTTAGAGGTAACGAAAATGTGTATTTTAATATAATTTATAATGAATATGTTTCCTACTAATTACCCACAAATTACTTTTGTACCTGATCCTCCCAAGGCTATAATTTTATTCTTCCATATATCAAGAATATAAGCAATTATCTTTGTAATTTGTTTATGAAACGACAATTATTAAAATAAATTAACACGCAATGTGTTTTCCATTTGATGTATCAGGTTCTTAATTATATTTTTTATTGATCATGTGCATAACTCAACATTAATTCCCCGTCAGGTTTTACAAACACAAAAACAAAATACCTCTCGAATTTACATTTTATAAATAAAACTCTTCCTTTGATTAGAAATCTCATTTTAAAAACCTTATTAACTAAATACGAAACCTCGATACTCTATCAATACGTATTTTGAATTATTCAGGGTGTTCATTTTCTAAGTAACCCAAATTACAAGAACCGTCAGACAATTTGTTACAACAAAACCAGCTTATAAGTTGTTATTCCTGTTTTCATTACTTCATTGTCATCGTTGCTTCGTCATCTATGAGATTTAGTGTTATTGGGAATTTATTGTGAATAAGACAGAACATTGTGTTTTCACAAGCTCAAAACACCAGTATGTATAGAGTATGTATTTTACATAAAAAAATCATTAAATTAATACCAGGGAAAGTTTGATATTAAATTTCCAGGTATGACTCTAGTGACCAAAAATCAGCTATTCATAGAAGTTAAATGATTTCAGAAAAGCGGATCCTGTTGAAGACAAGAAAACCGTAGCCCTACAATAAATACTCTATTTGACCTGCGAAAACACCATGTTGAGGCTTATCTATCTATATATTAATAGGCAAACATGTTTCTTTAAAACCTTTTTTCTCGGCTCGTGTGCATCGCAGGGAAAATGTACGCATACTGTTAGAAATATATTTTCCTGTAGATGTGCAGAATCCCCTTAAAAATTAGAATAGGCCCAAAAATAAGCACACAATATTAATTTGAAATCTTAAAAAAAATAACATGGGCTTTATGGGTTGCTATGCTGGTGACGAAATAACAACGAAATATAAACATAAAATCAAAACAAATGTAAGAAATTCCAATCACATGTTTTATTTACAGTGTGGGGTGAAAATAGAGAAGTCTGTACTAACAATGCAATTAATTTGATTTTTTTTTTAGCTAGAAGCGGTTAAGCTGTGGGGGAATATCTTTGAAGATGAATCTTTGAAGATGATGATGAAGGTTTAGTGTGATCATCAGTTCATACGTGTCAAATTTTGAGGTTAAATCAAAACAAACAAACTGTCATAATATATTCTTTTAATTGACAATAGTTAAATATACTTACTCTACTTTAAAAAACTCACTTGGTCATTAGAGAATATTTAGTGAAATAGACACGTGATTTCTGATTCCAAATCGACTAATGAATAAATTGTTATTTAATTATAGTCTTCAAATTAAGTGATGATTTCTTTGAAAATAATTAATTTAACATAAGCAAACATTTAAATATTGAATCTTCTTGCAAAATTAATGTCGATCATTATACCTATTAATAGAATAATGTATTTGTTGTGACTGGGATACACATGATAAACTGTTGGGACATAATGATGATTTACGTTTTGTTTGGAAATATATTAAGACCCAGACCTACCTTTTAAGGGTTTTAAGTTAGGGGTCACAATTATATACTCTCAAAATGACGAGATAAAACCTTTATAGACTAAAGTTTTGAGTTTTGACCCATTTAAA